CTTATGTAATACCCTTTGTAATACTTTTAGCGAAAAAAAAAAAAAAGAAATAAATTTTGAAAAACTTTCAAAAAAAAAAAAAGATAAATGTTGGTTGGTTAATGAATGAAAAATAAAGATAAATGTTACTTGACTGAAAACTGAACTTCTGTGGACAAAATTGGGTAAGGAGTAGCAACTGTCATAAATTAAATATTTGCATTATGCCAGTGATTGTGCTAGGTGTTGTTCACATTAACTTGATTAGTCCTCCTCAGAAGATTTTTATAAAAAAATTGTTATCCCCCCATTTTACAGGCAAGAGAACTTGGGCCCAGCAAGGTTTGATAATCTGCTGGGTCCGACTCCAATGAGTAGCTTGCCAAGAAGTATCCAGCAGCAGCTGACACCAATCTAAAGAGAGAAGAAGAAATTCTGAACCTTCCCCAAAGCTATTGTCTGGGCTTAGGATACCTGCTTACCTGAGAAATTGTGAGAAGAAAGGAAATACATATTGTAATTGGCCAGCCATTGCCAAAATGCCACAGCATTAGCCAAGCCAGCGCTTCCAAAATCAAGATCTGGATGAGGTGAAGGGAAAAGAACCCTAGGTTGGCACTGAACATGTTCATAGCCTCTAATGTCCTCCGCAGTTCTTGGAAATCTTCCACCAACTGGGCCTGTGAAATATTCAAGGAGGAAATTAGTTCTTTCAGGAGAAAGAAAGCTCAAATGATCATAATTACTAATATATTTTATCAACTTATTAATACCTTAATTTTATAAATAGAAATTTATTAGTATTAATACATTTAATAGGGAAGAATTAGAAACAAAAAACAATGAGCAAAAAAAATCCTTTGAAAAATGTTATGATAATTTTTTTTCTCTAGAAAGGAGAAGATGAGTAGTTGTTTGTCAACTGTCCTCAAGCTGCATGAAACTTAGAATTAATGTCTTTTTTTGAGGGGCAGTGGTGGTCAGTAAAGATATACAAAAGTCAGCCTGGTCAGCGTGGCTCAGTGGCTGAATGTTGACCTATAAACCAGGAAGTCACGGTTCAATTCTCAGTCAGGGCACAGGTGGGCTCCATCCCTGTGGGGGGCGTGCAGGAGGCAGCCCATCAATGATTCTCTCTCATCATGCTTCTATCTCTCCCTTCCTCTCTGAAATCAATAAAAATATATTTTTAAAAAAGATATACAAAAGTCTAACAGTTGTTTTTGAAACCATTGGGATTATTTCAGGTGTTGACTGATTTCTGGTTATGCTTTGGAGAACTTTGTTGTCTGTATGGATCTATGTTACCATAGATACTGGTACAGTTTACAAGTGATATTTTACAGTTTTAAAATAGTATTTTTATTGTTGACAGTATTACAGTTATCCCCCATTTCTGCCCCTTTGTCCCTTCCACCTGGCCCCTGCCCCACCTCCGGCCTTCACTTCACTGTTGTCTGTCCATAGGTTATGCATATATGCATATAAATTCTTTGGTTAATCTCTTCCTGCCCTCCCACCCTCCTTCCCTCTGAGATCTGTCAGTCTGTTACACTGTCAGTTGCTTATATGTTCAAAGGGCTGGTTCATAGACGATGATGAAGATAAACAGATATAGGTCACTTAGATTAGCTCAATGGATAAATTCCCTGTGAGCTGCTCAATAGATCCCCAGAAACAAGACAGATCTCTAGTGGCATTAGAGTGTCTGCTTGTTGGAAAGGTCCTGGTTTTGTGCACATGCACCGGGCATATGTGCATGTGTGTGTACGTACAATGCTAGCCTCCATTGTCACATCATACTAGAGAGCCAGTGCAAAGACTGGGCAGAAATATCTCTTAGCTTAATGACTATTATGGGGTTAAACCAGGCCTGTTGGGAAAGTGACCAGAGTATAAGAAAGAACAAGATTGTTCTGATGTAAGAAAGAAATTTGAAATAAAAACGAGCTAGGTGAAAGGGCGAGGGCTAGGCCCTCCTTCTTGCCCCAGGGTAAGGGCTATGCCCTCCATCTTGTCCCAGGGTAAGGGCTACGTCCTCCATCTTACCTTGGCCACGTGCTTGGCAAGAGGCTTCTTCCCGGAAGTCTAAGACTCTGCTAGCCACACCCAGGAACAAGACACCGACTTGCACCTGGCCAATCGGCAGAGCACAGTCCTTTCTCCTCCCCTTACTCCAACCCCTGCTATAAAACCCATCTCTACGCGGGGTTCTGTCTCTCAGCCACTTGGCTTGCCATTGTGTCTGTGAGTCTGGTGGACGGGGAGCTCAAGCTAGCTTGAAATTCAGACTCTTATGCTTTTGCATCGGACTGGCTGGCTCCCTGATGTTGGTTTCTTGGGGATCTTGAAATCTGGGCATAACACTAGGAACATAATTCTAGATGTCAAACAATTTCATTTAAAAATTCACTTGCCTGGGAAAAGTATGGATGGGTTCATCGATAAGGCCCTCATCAACCCTGGAATCTGCAGATAATTTTAATAGGTCATCTCTAGAGTGTCTCAGAGCTTGGTCATGTTTTCCAACCTATTTATTTACAGAGACAGGGTTGCCAAAGCCAAGAAGAGTGATTGGTCTGAAATCATCAGCAAGTCAGTGACAGATGCTGGATTTAAACGTATGCTTCCTGACACCCAGTTTTGTGCTTAAACACTAATTGTCTACATATATATCTCTGGGTAAATACAAGATAATCATTCATTGTCTAAAAGAGTGTTGATCTCTGGGGGTAACCCTACATTTTCTTTAGTTTTATATCTATCTGTACTTACATATGTATCTTCACATAGATGCACTAAAGAAAATTTATGGTAGATCGTTACCTCCAGAGACCAACACTCTTTTAAAAAATGAACACTTATAGCTCTTAGCCATTAGTGGGAGTTTCTTTTCCCTAGAGAATATTTTTGGGAAAAACAAGTTTTGCATTATCTTCCTCTTTTAACTCAGGGCCTCCTGCCCTAAGTGATATTGAGTTCATGATAATGATAGCATATAAAATTTATTGAGCATTTACTGTGTTCCCGACACTGGTCTAAGCATTTATTTATTTATTTATTTATTATTTATTTATTTATTTATTTTTTAAATGAAATGTTTATTGTTCAGATTATTACATTGGTTCCTCTTTTTTCCCACCATAACTCTCCTCAACCCAGTTCCCACCCCACCCTCCGGCTCACTCCTCACCCACTGTCCTCATCCATAGGTGCACGATTATTGTCTAATCTCTTCCCGCTCCCCCCACACCCCTCCTCCCCGCCAGGAATAGTCAGTCCATTCCCTTTCTATGTCCCTGATTCTATTACAATCACCAGTTCATACTTTTCATCAGATTATTTATTCACTTGATTTTTAGATTCACTTGTTGATAGATGTGTATTTGTTGTTCATAATTTGTATCTTTAAATTTTTTTTCTTCTTCCCTCTTCTTAAAGGATAACTTTCAGCATTTCATATAAAACTGGTTTGGTGGTGATGAACTCCTTTAGCTTTTTCTTATCTGTGAAGCTCTTTATCTGGCCTTCACTTCTGAATGATAGCTTTGCTGGATAAAGTAGTCTTGGTTGTAGGTTCTTGGTATTCATCACTTTGAATATTTCTTGCCACTCCCTTCTGGCCTGCAAAGTTTCTGTTGAGAAATCAGCTGACAGTCGTATGGGTACTCCCTTGTAAGTAACTGATTTTCTTTCTCTTGCTGCTTTTAGGATTCTCTCTTTGTCTTTTGCTCTTGGCATTTTAATTATGATGTGCCTTGGTGTGGTCCTCTTTGGATTCCTCTTGTTTGGGGTTCGCTGCGCTTCCTGGACTTGGAAGTTTATTCCTTTCACCAGGTGGGGGAAGTTTTCTGTCATTATTTCTTCAAATAGGTTTTCAATATCTTGCTCTCTCTCTTCTTCTGGCACCCCTATAATTTGGATGTTGGTATGCTTGAAGCTGTCCCAGAGGCTCCTTACACTATCTTCGTATTTTGGGATTCTTTTTTCATTTTGCTTTTCCGGTTGGGTGTTTTTTGCTTCTTCATATTTCAAATCTTTGACTTGATTCTTGCAACCCTCTGGTCTGCTGTTAGGAGTCTGTATAATATTCTTTATTTCAGTCAGTGTATGCTTAATTTCTAGTTGGTCCTTTATCACAACATCGAGGGTTTCACTAGATTTCTTGAAGATCTCACTACATTTATCAGCGGTCACACCAGTCTTCTTGAAGATCTCACTACATTTATCGGCGGTCTCACCAGTCTTTTCGAGGGCCTTATTAAATTTATCGGCGGCTTCTAGACAGTTCTTTAAAGACCTTAAAAGTGTGGTTTTGACCTGAATATCCAACAGTTAGCTTTCCTCCAATTCTGTCGTTTGTGTCCTGTTTCTTTGTCTCGGCATTTTTTATGCTTCGCTGTGTCGATAGAGTGCCTTTCTGTGCTAAGTATCCCAATTACCTGAGGTAGACACTCTTGGTGCACCCCCTTGTGGGCTTTGTGCACAGTCTTGCTGTAATTAAGCCTTGATTGTTGTAGTTATCACTGGGAGGAATTGACCTCCAGGCCAATTGGCTGTGAGAATCAGCTGTGTCTGCAGTGGGAGAACTTCTGTGCTGGAGACACCCCTCTGGGGCTAGACATGCTTCAATGGGGCTTTGGTGCTCACTGAGTCTGCCCCCTGAGTGTGTCTTTTATGGTTCCACTGATCTGCAAACTGGATGGTCCCACTCTGGCCTCTGGAATTCCTGGCTCCTGGATCTCTAGGGAGGTGCTAATCTAGCCTTTGCCTGAGGCTATCGAGCAAAAGTCTCCCTGCAGGGCTTGGGCGGGGCGGGTCCCATGGGATCAACAGGGCGGGATTAGCAATTATGGCTGCTCTCAGTCTTGCCCTCAGAGGCTCTGCTTCTCAGTGTCCGGGTAATCCCTGCAAGCCCCACGGAGAGAAAGCTGCCCTAGGGTTCTGAGCGATGCCAGACAGTCCCGCTTCTCCCGTATGAGTCTGGGTCCCTAGAGACTTGCCGGGAACTGGAGCTCAGAGCCAGAGACTCCCTCCCGATTGGAAACGACAACAGCGCCCTCAGCCTCCAGGGATCAACAGGGCAGGGCTAGAAGTTATGGCTGCTCTCATTCTTGCCCTCAGAGGCTCTGCTTCTCAGTGTCCCCGTAATCGCTGCAAGCCCCTCAGAGAGAAAGCTGCCCTAGGGTTCAGAAAAGAGTGACTTGGAGTCTCGGTACTTCAACACACCAGCTGTGGGACTTTCAGAAAGGAATTCATTTTCCCTGGATTATAATTTCCCCAAATCTCAAAAGGGCAGTAGTCAGAATATAGTCACATCTTTGATGCAACAGCTATTTATGTAGTTTCTATTATATGTCTGATTTTGTGCAGATGAGTCCTGAGGACATAAGCCACATAGACACAATTTCTTCTCTCATGGAACACAGTGTATCAGGGAGCATAGACATAGACATTAAACTAATAATTACAAGCAGTCACTGGCAAAAATTATATGTATAAATTACCTGGCATGGAGTAGGTGTTTAGAGACATGGAATTACTGTTTGGCACAGAACCAAAAATTCTATTCCTTTGTTTCACAGAGGTTTCAGAGTTCTGAGTGGGAGGAGAACATTGGAAATATGTGGCATCCACTTATTCACACTACTGCAGGTCCATCCAGGCATGATGGCTGGGTACTCACAGAAAATGATAAATTGAACCTGAAATATACCTTGGCCCCATCCCTCCACATATTCTTGAGGCCTGAGACATCACTCACGTTTTTGTTTCTCTCCTGGCTGGGCTCTCCTGGGGCAAGCTCTCCAATGAGCAGTGGCTTAAGGTACAATCGTGCAATGTCAAGCTCCAGGTGCATGGCTCTGAAGATATCCTGGAGACCAGAGGGAATTGTTAGAGGCTAGAAGAGACATTCTTATCTACAGATTTGTCCCCTTCCTGATCTCACCCTGTGCCCATCTTGAGAACCAGTACAGACTCTGTTGTAGAGAATTTGCATACAATTCCTGGCTGATGCTTCAAGTGGACTGAACAAAATTACCCTTGGAAATATTCTATGAAAGCTGGAGATCCACCTACTGAATGCACTGATTCACTAGGCAAGTCCAATGCAGCCAGATTTTCCCCAAGAATTGGAAGAGACCTCTATTTATTTTACTGAGAACCAGAAGAAATAGTGGCTTGAGTTTATGGGCCATCATAAATCTTTCAAGTCCAACATCATGCTTGGGGTTGAAGTTGCTTACACTAGCTAAGCCATGCAGCAATCAAGACTGGCTATGCAGATCATGTCTTCCATCCAAGTCTGCCACTGGGTTCTTAGCCAAGGACCAGAGGAATGGGGTTCTTGAATTAAGTTATTTAAAAACAAAAACAAAAACCACAAAGTTGATAATGGTTGTTTAAGAAAAATATGGAAGAAAGTGTGGGAGTATAGTCTTTGAGCTCTGGGTTATCTGGAGTAGCACACTCCTGGCTAAGTTTGTCACTGATCCTAAAAACATGAGGCAGTATCTGCAGGGGCTAGTGGCAGCCAGACCCAGAATTGAGTTGATCAATTCTACTTTTCCATCTCAGGTCCCTTGCTAAGAAAAGATTTCAATTGGCTATGAGAAGCAGCAGTGGTTCCTATATCATGCTTATATTTGGAAGTGAGAGACATCCTCTTCCTTTGGGGATTTAAAGTTTTGGAGGGAGGGAGATTTTCTAAGAGGAAGATGCTGGACTTTCTGCTATTATGGCTTTGGGGATGAGGGTGATTAAAAATGAAGAAATACAAACAAGGTTGTAACTTGAATACATGGAAACCATACACATTACTCTGAGTTATGTTGTTGCATAGTACTAATTAAGTAGACACAGGAGCAATCTTCCTATATATAAATCCTAGCTTTGCCACCTACTAGCTGTGTAGTTATGGACAAGTCTCTTGACCTAGTTTTACTTCTCTTTTCTCTAACATGAAGGTGATGATAATAGCTGCTCAAGTAAGAAGAGAATTATATGTAGTAAGTGAATTAATTAGAATATGGTTGGCAGATAGACAATTCTCAATATATGTTAGTTATCTTTCTTGTGTATCTCTAGTGATAAGAACTTACTATTTATCTTCTCTGCATGCAGCAATTCAGATATTTTATTCTGATACTCCAATTTCTAATGTGTTGTGATCTCTCAATTATTTTGCTAAATATGATAAATTCACCATCTTTAAATCATAGAGCAACTTTAGACATAGCCAAGAACTACATGCCCTACTTATAAAAAGGTGCTTATATAATGAATAAGGTTAATTGGAAATCTGCAATATCAACTCTTTGGATTTATTTCACCCAGATTCACTGATGTGAAAAGAGATTTGTATCTGCTAAAAGCAGTCCAGGCTCGACTGTCCATTCTGCTTCTGTACACCTCCTCTAACCCCCTTGGAAAATGCCAAACTATATGATTTGAAAGGTGTTTTTTATTGTCACATTCAATGATTCTGAAACTTAGCTCCCCTAACCATGAAGAGAATCATTTAGTGATTAAGAAGGTGATTAAAGTATTTCCTGATGATCCAGACTGAAAAATCATGGTCTGCTTGCTGTTTGGGAGCAGATTAGAATGCAAAGCATTCTGATTGATATAGATCAGAGTGTAAAGGAGAGGTAAGCTATTGAAATTTCATCTTAGTCTGAGCAGTCATCCAAAGTCCTGGAACAGTGTGCTGACAAGCACATTCCTCTGGGTTCAGTATTTCTTCTGACGACCTGCAAGGTTCAGTACTGTGATAGCAGGCACTGAAGACCTACACAGTGTTCCAGAACAGTATGCATTGCCCTGCTCTGAGGAATTCTTTTCATTGTATTGATGGGCAGTACAATAAAAAAGTTTAGCTAGTCTTAGAATACTTGATGTAGAAGAATTTCCTAATAGAGACTGAATGTTGAGTCAGTTGTGAAATCCCCTCTTGAAAGACCTGCAAAAACGAGTTCTGTTACCAACATTCTTGGGCAAGTATGTTCCTGCTGAAGGAAGGAGAGGGGATAAAATGAAGGGGAAAAGAGATACTGCCAACATTTATTGAATGTATCCTATGTACAAGGTGCTCAATGCGCCAATTCACAATCATCATCTTAGTGCTGTGGGGTTTCATTGATTCTGTTGTAAAGGTAAAGAAACCATGTCTCAGAGGGGAGAAATGTCTGGCCCCAAATGCCAGAGTGAATAGTAGAGTCAGGATTTGAATTCAGGGCTTTGTGACTTTAAAGCCACGAAGCTGTAAAGCTCCATTCCAGCCTTAACATGTACATATATTTTTGAAAGACCTCTCAAGAGAGGAGCAACATCATGACACTTAGTTCCTAGAACTTTTCAGGTTATATTGTAAGCAACCTGTGTCTCCACCCCTTCTCCAGTGATCTTTGAGTTTTTTGAAGATTGGGACCATGTACTATTGATTACATTATACGTACCATCTATCAGTATGCCTGGAGTATGGCATGTGATCATGTATGTCTAATGGATAAGGGAAATGAATGAATGAATAAATGAATATAGGGTTTTTCTTTTTTTCTTTTTAATCCTCACCCGAGAATATTTTCCCATTGATTTTTTGAGAGCATGGAAGAGAAAGAGAAAAACATCGATGTGAAGGAAACACATTGATTGGTTGCCTCCTGCACATGTCCCGACCAGGGCCCTGGCTGAGGAGGAGCCTGCAACAGAGGTACAAGCCTTTGGAGGTCAAACCCAGGACCCCTTGGTCCACAGGCCCATACTTTATCCACTGAACCAAACCAGCTAGGGCTGAATATAGAGTTTTTATAACAAGTAGAAAGTTGGGATCATCAAAGTGTCGAACTCAGAGGATATCGTTCTTAAGCATTACTGTCTCCTTCCTATCCACTGTATCTCTCATTTTCTGACCTTTCTGCTGCTTTAGTCTCTCCATTTTCATCTGTTAACCTTTTGAATTTCTTCTCAACCATCATCTGTACTCCTAAACCTATTCATAAATTTATATCAAAATTTATTATTTTCAAAACAGTATACACACAGGAAAACTGTGATTTTCACAACTAGCTTGGAAATCCTGATAATTTTTTGCTGCTTTTTAATGGGGGACAACAAGATGTGCTTTACTGTAAAAGCAGTATAATTCCTAGTGGAAGAGAAAAGTATGTAATGCCAGAGACAAAATCTTGCCTTTACAATTCAAGTACTGTATCCAGGTTGTGCCCTGCATGAAGGCACCCAGCCAGGAGGGAATGTCTGGGCTGAAATTCAGCCAGCACTCTGCTTGCCAATTCTTCAGCTGCAACCACCCACAGTCACAGTGCAGGCTAGTAGGGGAACAGGCTGGTTTATATTGGGAAGATTACTTAGTTTTTGAAACCTTCATCTTTTTTTCTAAATGTGAATAATACTACTACTCAGAAACTATGTCTGCCCCATAGTTTCATTAATTCCTATGTTCATTTATTCAGTCATTCCAAAACCGATTGAGAATCTAGATAGGTGGTTAAGTTTTGGAATCAGACATCATTAAATGACTGCATTTTTGTATTATTTAATTCATCTGAGGTGGGTTTAAATTTCCCAAAATTCAGGAAAGAAAAAACTGATGACAAATGTATGCATGAATCGCAAAACAAAATCACTAGAGCCTTGATTTACTCCCTTCAGAAAAGCTCATCAGAATATTCAATGCCCAACCACAGATACCCATTACCACCTCATCGCGTAATTTCTTCTCTGTTCACCCTTTTCAGATTTCATCTGTTCCAAAGCAATGGCTAGAACAAGTTTGCCTCATATTTTGGGTAGAGCATGAGTTGTGAGGAGGCCGATTTGTGAGGAGAATGCATTTTTTACTATTTTCTTGGGAGAGAACCAATTTGGAGTAGAGAATGTCACATGAACTCACCCAGATTTCTTTTCTTCCTCAGGGATAAGCAGAGAGTTATTTTTCTCACTGCAACTCATTCTATTTCTTGAGAACTTTCAATATTTGAAAACTCTTCCTTATACTAAGATATTTTTTCTATGATACTTTCAGCTGAGCTGCAGCCCAAACTCTCTCTCTCTTTCCACTCTCCCTACAAACCGGCTCCCCTGTCCCATAATAGATATCACCACCTAGTTACCTAAGCCAGATATCCATAAGTCAGTTTAGAGTCCTTCATCCTATTTACTTATGCAGTCACTCATAAGTGAATGAGTGACCTTTTATCAGGAGGATGAAGGCTTGGTGAAGAGTCGCTGTGTCAATAAATTTTAAAAAAGGTGCGTACTCTGGACAGGTGTAGTCATGAGTCCAGGGGCAACACAAAGAGACTATTTTTGGGTCCACATTTTCCTTTCAGGGCATAACCTACAAAGACCTCTCAAGTCATAGAGAGAGTATTAGATATCAAGGCCTCTGACTTTGTTCTGCCCTCCTTCCCTAGAGAGCATGGTGCCCTCCACCTTGTACCCTCTGTTTCTAATAGATGGCACCCAATAGAATCAGGATTTCTAAGCTGGTAGTAAACAGAAAGTAATAATCACACCCCGGAGGCTATGGATGTCGGAGATATGAATAGTTGTAGCTACATGGAATGGAACTTTATTAAAGTGTCTGACACTGTTCTGAACATTTTACAAGCATCAGTCCCATTTACCATAAACCAGTTAGATGGGTAATGCCGATGGTGAAGCTGAGGTGCAGAGCATTCCAATAACTTTCCTGGGTTCATTGAAGGACCCCAAATCCCAGGCTCTCCATACACTGAGTAGTCACAGCATGTTGTGGGTGTCAGAATTTCCCCAGCACCCTCCCAATCTTCTTGAGCCACCTTCCCTTGGAGAATCTTTTCTCTGAACATTTTTAGATTCACTTTCCTAATATCTGAGGTCCATGACTGAACGTGCTCAGGATTTTCATTCTCAGGATATGAATCCTAAGGTGGCATGAGTACTTTCCCCTGGGGTTCTGATAGTTTCTATTTTATTAATCAATTCTCCTTGTTGGCTAGAATTAGATCAGAATCACGTCTTTTCCTACCTTCTGGGAGGTAAAAATTATCAGCAAATTAGACATTTATCATCTGAGCTGCCTCTAGCTTAGAATTTATCCATGATTTTCATGGTGGCTGAGACCCACGTCTTTGCCAACACATCCTCTGAGTTCATTCTATGACTTGAGTTAGGAAAGCAACAACCATATTTTCTCTGAGTTGTGGGAATGCGGGAAGGGATACTTAGGAATCTGTAGTATTTTTTATTCCATTTTGTTTTTGTTACTTTCTCTTTCTATTCTTGCACACATTCTTTCCACCTCACTTCTATCCTCAGCTCTCTGGATTCCTACCCATCATTTATCTTCCTGATACAAAAGTACTCCCATCCCTTGCTACAAGCACATGCTCATTTTCTCAATAAAAGGTTGAACTTTGTTTAAAAAATATGTCTGATGGAAGTGTTGGGGAAGTAGCAAGGTATGTTCAGAAATGTATTTGCCTGACTGAAGAATCAAGATATGAAGATGGTGGAAGAAGAAGAACCTGCTCCACATATTAATTTTCTGATTTTGGCTTAGTTAGAACTTTTTCTAATATGTTTTTATTGATTTTGAGAGAGAGAGAGAGAGAGAGAGAGAGAGAGAGAGAGAGGAAGAGAGAGTGATAGAGAGAAACATGAATGAAAAATATCATGGAACATCTGCCTCTTGCACTCCCTCTAGTGGGAATTGAGCCCACAACCTGGGCATGTATCCTGATTGGGAATTGAATGGTAACCTCTTGATTCCTCGGCAGACACTCAACTGCTGAGCCATTCTGGCTGGACAAGGTTAGTGATATCTTTTTACTCTCATTTCTTCAAATGTGTAATGTGGGCAATAAAATTTCTAATTGGCAAAAAATAATCTTCCTTATTGAATATTTTAAAAGGGCTTCCTAAATGCATCTAAGGATTCAAAAGACCTTCCTATTAAATGTTAAATGGAAATTTTATTTGTAAGGACTCAGCTACAAAGGCTTTTATGGTAAAACACCTCCCTGATTTTAAAATTTGGCAATATTACTTGGTGGCTCCGTGCATTATTTGCCTCTTTGAACATTAATTTTCTCATCTGTAATAAGGAGATGGTATCCACCTTCCCCATGGTGAGGTTTAAGTGAGGTGATGCATTTGAATGTGTCTAAGGTATTCTAGGCATCCAATAAATGTTACACTATTTTATTTCCTTTGCTGCTTTGGTGTGGGAGGGTGATGAGAAGTAGTGAAGAAAAGTGGAAGATTGGAAGCTAAGAAAGATAAGTTTTTGAATCTGAGCTCTGTTGTTGGGTGACCTTGGGCCAATCAGTTATCCTCTCTGATTTTAATTTCTTCTTCCATAAAAGTGAGTTGTATTACCTCTTTGACACTGAATGAGCTGCAGGACACAAAAGAGCTCTGCAAAGCCTAAAAGCCTATGTAATTGTAGGCTTTCACCATTGTTATTAACAACATTTTTACTAGTATGCTTAACAGATGAATCACTGACTTTCTTTTAAACACTCCAAATTAAAGAGCCTGAGAAATTTATACTTGGGTACATTTTTCCCCACAGATTTTACTCACCTATTCAAAGCAAAACACGAAGAACAAAACAAAAACCAGAAGGCACAAATATAGTACCCACTGTCAACATCTGAGCTCATCCCAAACCTGATTCACATAATAGCTAGACCTTGAGGCTTACGTTGCTTCCGAATCCTTGCCGGATAGGAATCCTGAAAAATTAGTTTGGGAGGAGATGAGCTGTTGTGGAGCGTGAGCACCTACTTGACATGCTTTTGGGAAGAGAGTTAAGGTCCCACCCAGCCAGCAGCTGGAACAGAGAGAGGATAGAACTTGGCGTTCCTTACCGTGGCATCTTCCCCGGCATAGTGGTTGAGAACCCGCCGGCCACCTGGATGTCGGTCTGCCCAGCTAGTAACATCGTAGACCTTGCGATTGATCACCAGCCACTGGTCGGTCTCCTGATTGTGTCCCTGGATCTCCTGCCAACTGTACAAGTTGAGGCTCTTTCTAGGTGTGTCACCTTTCCCATCTGCCTCCTGCTTTGGGGAGACCTTTGCTTTCCCGTTTGCTTCTGGTTTGTCGTTTGCCTGATGCTTCTCCTCCAGGGGCAGCTGACTCTTTCCTACAAGGCTCCCATTGCCTGCATGCTTTTCTTCAATCTTCATCATCACAGAACCCCTGAGATTTCTGGGTTGACTCCTGAAACTTCTAATCCTCACCTCTGATTGGATCATAAACTAATCCCTCTTTCCCTTTTATTCCATTTGTAGTATGATGCCTGCACAGAATACTTCTTTTTAGCCTAGTTTTCTCTTCCCAAACTTGATGGTGAACATATCCCCAGCTTCTCACTTCTGTCTGTCCTGAATCTTTTCTACCCGGATGGAGGCTGAACCACCTTTCTCTCCTCACTTCTCTCCCTGCTGGCTGGTCTCTTAGCAGCATCTGTCACCATTAAGTCCTTAAGTAAAGAGTTGTGACCAATGGTAGTCCAGCACAATGTTGTTGCCTGCCCCCACCCCCACCCCCAGGAGGAGGGGCTAGGGCTCTGTCAAGTAACTTTCTGCTCTGCATCAAGGTGGGTTGGGTTCCTAGCTCTCTGAATGAAAACATTCAGATTTCTTAATTCAACATGTGAGCAGAAGTTTTCAAAATCTCCAGGATGACATGAATGCTTCATGGACTTGACAGCTATTTCTTTCCAGGGCTTTTAAACTTTTTAAAAATACTTTTTGTGAAGGTTTATATTTACCAAAAGAGCATGTCAACAGTAAACCAGTTTCTCTCTTTTATTTCCCTTTGAAAGCTGTCCAAATCTGTCCACACACCTGAAAGTAACAGCCACAGCTGTTTGCTAGAACACATGATTTATTTACAAAACCCTGG